CCTAATATTGCTGTTTTTTGGAGCTCTGAGTTCTGAGATCTGCAACTGCTTTTATGATTATGATTATGATGATTATTATGATTATTACTAACGTTGCTTCACTGTATACAGTCTCTATAATCTCTGGAGTACTAGATGTTTGAATCATACAAACAATTTCTTGCAATTTCTATTACACAAGAAGAAGATTATCATCTTTGGATAAATCTACAAGCTAATAACGTAGCTGGCAACACAGCAGGATTCAGTCATTTTCCCAGGTGTCCTTATATCAGTTTATACTTGATGGATCTGGTGAAATTCAGCTGCAGAAATCTTGTGTTTTGCTCCCCAGCAGCGATGTTAAAATATCAGAACAGTGCGGATACTGAAACATCAGAAAACAGTTTAAAGTTAAAAAATGAAGAACCCGTCTTCTAGCATACCCCTTGAATCAATGGGAGTCAACTTATTAATGACTTGCCTGAGTCCCTTGCACTATAGCTGCCTGGAGTCCTTACAAGGATAAAGGTGGGGTAAAAATATTTTAAATAAATAAAATACAGTGGTGCCTCACAAGAGGAATGCCTCACGGAACGAAAAACCCTCAAGGTGATTGGTTTTTGAAATCACTATGGTGCCTCGCAAGATGGCATCTTCTATGGCCGTGCTTCGCAAGATGGGTTCCCCCCCCCGAGACCGATGCCTTGTAAGACAAAAAAAATTTCATTTGTCTTGCGAGGTTTCCATAGGAATGCATTGCAATGCATTCCTATGAAAAACCACTTTTCGCAAGACAATTTTTTCGCGAGACAGCGCTTCTCGTGGGATGAATTAAATTCGTCCTGCAAGTCACCACTGTATAAGACATGATGTAGGAGCCTCATCACACAGTGGTTAAATTGCTGGACAGCAGCCAACACTATGCCTGCGACCCAGGATTCAATCTCAGGCAGCCAACTCAGCCTTCTATCCTTCTGAGTTTGGTAAAATGAGTACCCAGTTCACTGGGGGGTTAGGGTGGGTAATGTGTAGTCTGCATAATTAAATTGTAAACCACTCAGAGAGTGCTTGGTGCGCTATGGGCTGGTAGAAGCAGCATGCTTTGTTTTTAATTTTTTGATGTCATACAGTGTGCAATACATATATAATTGTAAAATAACCTGCAAGACAGCTAACATATCATTAATTTTTTGAGGGAAAACCCTTCTCCTCCGGCAGAAGGTTGCCTCACTTCCCGTATTGTAAATCACGTTTACTTTTATTTTGTTAGTCATTTAAATGTAAATACAGACTTCATTTGTAATTTTGATTGCTCAGGGAAGGAGCATTTCACCAACATCTAATCTGACTCTGTTAACTGTTACATCAATGTTTACATCTGTAATCTAAAAAAAGCTCCTAGTCCACATCATTACATTTTGTACAGGATTCCTATTATTTTCAGATGGGTGAAGAGGCTATTTTTTTAAAGTTACCTTTTCCCTGCACGGAGCAGGTCAAAGCCTTCATTGATTTTTTCAAAAGGCAGCGTATGGGTAATTAATGGATCCAGAGTAAACTTTTTCTGCATGAAATCTGAAACAAGCCTAGGAAGAGAATCTTTACTTTTCCAACCTGTAAATAAAAGTGTACATGCTTTTAAAAAATACCACAGATTACAATGCAATTAAAATATGGATAAATGTCTGTAAATCTCACAAATTTCTAAACTTTATCAATGTGATAAATCATGTAAGTCTTTTATAGGCTATGCCAGCTAAGGAATTGCAGTGTAAAACTGGAAGGCTGCAAAATTGTAAAGTTCAGCTATTTGTTTGGGTGTTAAAGTTAAGGATGGGATTTTCTGATTTTTGGGGCTATAAATCGAATAATTCTCTATTCTGGGAGTTCTGCTTGGCAGACAGACAGTTAATACAGCTCACCTTGGAGAAAGGCCTGAACATGAAGATTTTGAGGCTGACTAGGCTTAGGTCTGCCAATCTTCCTGTTGCTGCCCAGGTGCTACTCTATCTGGGAGCTTTCTATTTGGATCGGAAGCCAGGCAGAGCTGGGCCTCGCTCAACTTCAGAGACTTCCAGTTGAAACCTTTCTCCAAGTTGAGTCACATTTAGATGTCTGTACGGTGTCTGCCTGTTTAGTAGAACTCACAGAATTGAGAATTATGGGATCTGTAGTCCATGAAATTTAAAAACAACAACACATTCTTAAGTCAAGTTCAGCTATGCCAAGACAACACTCCCTCCCTCCCTCCCTCCCTTCCTTACATTATAAAATGACCACACAATAATAATTATAATAATAATAAATTATAACCGTGGCACAGACAATATAGTGCATATTTGGAGTAAGGCTTATTGTTTGTGAAGTTTAGGACATTTCTGTAATGTGTCTGGCCAAAGTTGAAGTTTCATCCTTTGGTCTGAATTCGACAAAACAAAACACATTCTTAAATTAAGATTGCTGAAAACGTTCAGCTATGCCAAGACAACACTTCCTCCCTCCCTCCCTCCCTCCCTCCCTTCCTTCCTGACATTTTAAAATGACCGTATGTGAGCAGAGGAACAGGAGTGAGCCGTCCTCGCTGGAGAAAACGATGGAAGAAAGCGAAGGCTGTGTGGTGGGGGAATTGATTAAACTAGAGGAGGAAGAAAGTGGAATCAACAAAGCCGTAGAAGTGTTCTTGGCAGAGAGGTCCAGAGATTGGGGGGGAGGAATTTGGAGAGTGGAGAAGGGATGATGATATAAAAGAAGGGGGAAAAGAGGGAGGAGTCAGATTGCCTGGAGTGAATAGAGAGGTACAGACAGAAGAAACAGGGGCTGAAAGAGAAAAGATAGTGAAGCTAGTAAAGACCTTTCCTAATCTTATGAAAGAGGATGGGCTGTTGCCTTTACCGAAAGAAATGAAGAAGCCTGGAGCAGGTGAGCGAAAGAAGGGATGGAATCGGGAAGTGGGTTCGACTACCCGACCCTCTGAGGATTACGAGACCCCTTATGGGGTCAGAGCCTTTCTACCCAGGCTGGAGGGTTCCGTCGTGAAACATCTCTGTTGCGGGACAACTTGTGCGGCATTGAGCACTCCGGTAATGAGCCAGAACATAACCCCCCCTTTTTGGGGTGAAGAAACCATAAGAGTTGAAGATGTGGGTAGTGTTGTTAAACCCAAAAAGTATGATTTGTTGACTGAAGCGGAATTGTAGGACCCGTTTGGTCCTGAATTATCTGATTTTAAAAATAATAAAACTAAACCGTTTGGAAGACCGTTTACATCTCCTCCGGCTTTCATCCCCGCCGAATTCCTGGGCCTGCCTACTTTAGTCAAAGAATCCAATCACACCATACAAAAATAACAACAGAAACTATAACTGTGGCACAGACAAAACAGTGCCTATTTGGAGCAAGGCTTATTGTTTGTGAAGTTTAGGACACTTCTGCAACGTGTTTGGCTAGAGTTCGTACAGATCCTGTTGATGTAAGTTTGGTTCCTGCTTGTCCTGTGATAATGGATGTTTCAATTGGTGTAGCCAGATCTTTGGAGAGGTACCCAGTTTTTTTAACAACAGTTTCCTCTTCATGCTCTGGAAAACTATGAAAATGTAGGAGAGGTACTTTTTTAACAACAGTTTCCTCTTCATGCTCTGGAAAACTATGAAAATGTAAACATTTTTTCCAAATCTTCAAGCATGCCTTGTATCTATGCTTGTTTTCATATCCTGCAGTGCAGGTAATTTTTCTTCTTATGCAATGCTTATTTCTAGGACCTCATTCTGCTGTTTTTTCTGAGCTAGCAGGCCTTTTGGGGGGTGGAGTAAGGCAGATTTTTAGTGTCTCAAATGCTCATTTTAGTGGGTAATCAACACAGCTTTGTAGTTATGCTATAATCTTAAAATGGCAGCCACCCCACCCCCCAATACAGAGAACTCTTCATCTCCCTTATCCATATACCATAATGAAACCACCAGAAAGACTTTTAGGAGCCGAATAACAAATCTTCTTTGCCCATACCTCCAAAAATAGATCCTTTCCAAGTGCGGCCTGTGAAGATAACTCCCGGGGAGATAGTAATCTCAGATACAGAAGGAGGCACTCCCACAATTATGCTTATTCCATAGTCCATGTGGCAAGAAGCCAAGGCTGCTTTCTGAAGCAAATCCAAAGTTACACATAAGAATCAAGCCAAGGATCTGTCATGCCAACTATGACATAAGCTGCTTTCAAGCCCTGTAACCTTTTATCTTTTTGCATTACTGTGCGAAGGACATTGTGACACCAGTAAGAAAGAAACCCCAATCCCATAACGATAGTGGGTTGGCTCCTAGGACAATGTAGTTTAAGGAATGTATTGGAAGAGAAGATTTCATTCTTCCTCGCCTTAAACTCCAATTTTTCTGGAGGGTTGAGGAGGGCCCATGCTGGGGTGGTGAGGGACTAAAAAAATAGTAAGAGGCTGTCAAAAGATAGGAAAAGGTATCCATGCTTCCTATTTTCGTCAAGACAGTCCAGTATTAGGGCATCACTACCCATTGTCTTCAGGCCAGTTTGTTCTCGCTATGCTCCTCTACCCTGTCAAAAGCTTTATATACCCATCTGTAGCGTTCAGCCCTGCCCTCACCTGTCCATCACAGCTGAGCAGTGTAAAAGGAGCCAATGAGTGAATGGAAGGTGGTGCTAAAGGGGGAGGGGCTGGATATAAAGGGGGGTGTATGGAGTATGAGGGGGAGATTTTGAGAGTTTTAGTGAGTCTGTGATGCAGTGAGCCAGTGAGTCAGTGAGAGTAGGGTTCTGTGTATTAGAGAGTTCAGTGAGTGAGAGAGATTGATTAGCAACTTGTGATTTACCTATTTCTTATTATTGATCAAATAAACAAGTTTAAGTTTCAATGAAACACATGTCTCAGTGAATGATTGGTATTGAAACAGCAATACCTGGTGGCAGCAACTTGGGAAGAAGAGTGAGCACCTCCTGGAGGCCTGAGTTAGTAGAGGCTTCAGTGTGCCCTGCTACATACCGTATTTTTCGCACCATAAGACGCACTTTCCCCCCACAAAACAGGGGGGTGGAAAGTCTGTGTGTCTTATGGAGCGAAGAAAACAGATTATATTTTCCTGTTTTCTTCTCCTAAA